TTAAGAGGAAGGATTCTTGCTAAAATACTCAATTCCTATCCAGAAAGGCAAAGAGGCTGGACATCAAGAGAAGGAGAAAAGAGGGAACAAGTCTGGAGCCTGACACAGAGGACCTCTGAAAAGCTCTGCCCTGTAGACTATCAATGTAGATGCTGAGACTTATGGGAAACCTTTGGGCAGAGTGCAGGGAATCTTAGGAAAGAAGTGGGAAACAGTAAGATCTGGAAAGGACAGGAACTCCACAAGGAGAGCAACAGAACCAAAAATATCTGAGCACAGGGGTCTTTCCTGAGACTGATACTCCAACCAAGGACTATGCATGGAGATAACCTAAGACCCCTGCACGGATGTAGCCCATGGCAGTTCAGTATCCAAGTGGGTTCCATTGTAATAGTAGCAGGAACTGTCTCTGACATGAACTGATTAACATGCTCTTTAATTACCTCCCCCTGAGGGGGAAGCAGCATTACCAGGCCACAGAAGAAGATAATGCAGCCACTCCTGATGAGACCTAATTGACTAGCATCAGAAGGAAGAAAAAGAAGTCCTCTTCTATCAGTGGACTTAGGGAGGCGCATGCATGCAGAGGGTGGAGGAAGGGAGGGATGGGAATGGGAGGAGTGAGGGGAACCATGGGGGAGGATACAAAGTGAATATAGTGTAAAAAAAAAAAAAAGAAAAAAAAAAGCATTTAGCTATACCACTCTTGGGCATATATGTGGAAGATGCTAAACCATATAAGGACATTTGCTCAACTATGATCATAGCAGCATTATTCATAATAGGCAGAATCTGGAAACAACCTACATGTCCCTCAACTGAAGAAGAGATGCAGAAATTGTGGTACATTTACAAGATGGAATACTACTCAGCTATTAAAAAAAGGAAGTCATGAAATTTGCAGGCAAATGGTCGGAATGAGAAAAGATCATCCTGAGTGAGATAACTCAGAATCAGAAAGATTCATGAACGGGTGTTAGATTTTGTCAAATGCTTTTTCAGCATCTAAGGAAATGATTTTTTTTTCAGTTTGTTTATATGGTAGATTACATTAATAGATTTCTGTATACTCAACCATCTCTGCATGCCTGGCATAAAGCCTATTTTTTCATCGTAGATGATAACTTTGATGTGTTCTTGGATTCGGTTGTGAGTATTTAATTGAACATTTTTGTGCCAATGTTCATAAGAGAAATTGGTCTGAAATTCTCTTTCTTTGTTGGGTCTTCATATAGTACAGGCATCAAGGTGACTGCGGTTTCATAGAACGAGGTTCATGATGTTCACTCTGTTTCTCTTTTGTGGAATAGTTTGAAGAGTGTTGGTATTAGCTCTTCTTTGAAAGTCTGGTAGAATTCTGAGCTGAAAACATTTGGCCCTGGGTTTTGTATTTTGAATTGGAGGCCTCCAATGACTGCTTCTATTTTCTTAGGGAATATAAGACTATTTAATTTATTTACCTGATCTTGGTTCCACTTTGGTAAATGGAATATATCAAGAAAATTATCCATTTCCTTTAGATTTTCAAATTTTGTTGAATATAGGCTTTTGAAGCAGGACTTACCTAATGATTCTTTGGTTTCCTTAGTGTTTGTCGATATGTTCCCCTTTTCTGTTCTGATTTTGCTGTTTTGTATAGTGTATTTCTGTCATTTAGTTAATTTTTCTAACTTCTTGATTTTGCTTAAATAATCATCTCTTGGTTTCATTGATTTTTTTGAATTGTTCTCTTTGTTTCTAATCTATTGATTTCAGCTCTGAGTTTGATTATTTTCAGCTGTCTACTCCTCCTGAATGATGTAGATAGATTTTCGTTACCAATTATTGTTAGTTAGTTTTATTGTGGAATCGGTGGTGATTGTGATTGTTTTCTCTTGCTTTTTTTGTTGTGAATGTATCTTTATCCAGTGTTTTCTTATGTGTAGTTGATCTTGTTGGGTTGGAGTTTTCTTTCTAGTATCTTCTATAGGATTGGGTTGCTATGTAGATATTGTTTAAATTTACTAATGTCATGGAATATTTTGTTTTTATCCATCTACGTCGACTGAACATTTTGCTTGGTTTAATGGTCTGGGTTGGTATTTGTGATCTCTTATTCTCTGCACCACATCTCTCCAGGCCTTTCTGGCTTACATAGTCTCTTTTATGAAGTCTGGTGTGATTCTTTTTTTTTTTTTTTGTATTGCAACAATAATTTTAATGAATATTTTTAAAATATTATATTAATTACACTTTATTCAATTTTTATCCCCCCTGTAGCTCCCTCCCTTCTGTCCTCCCAATCCCTATTTTACTCTGCCTTCTCTACACATGTCCCTTCCCAAGTTCACTGATAGGGAAGTCTTATTTTTCTTTCTTCTGATCCAACTGAGGAATGGATACAGAAATTGTGGTATATCTACACAATGGAATACTACTCAGCAATAATAAACAAGGAAATCTTGAAATTTGCAGGTAAATGGTGGGAACTGGAAAAGATCATCCTGAGTGAGCTATCCCAGAAGCAGAAAGACACACATGGTGTATACTTACTCATATAGATATATAATATAAGATAAACCTACTAAAATGTGTACATGTAAGGAAACTAATCAAGAAGGAGGACTCTGGCGAAAATGCTCAATTCCCCTTCAGAAAGGCAAAGAGAATGGACATCAGAAGAAGGAGAGAACAGGAAACAAGTTAGGAGCCTTCCAGAAAGGGCCTCTGAAAGTCTCTACCCTGCAGTGTATCAAAGCAGATGCTGAGACTTATGGCCAACCTTTGGGCAGAATTCAGGGAATCTTATGAAAGAAGTGGGAAATAGTAAGATTTGGAGATGACAGAAGCTCCACAAGGAGAGCAACAGAACCAAAAATATCTAAGCACAGGGGTCTTCCCTGAGACTGATACTCCAACCAAGTACCATGCATAGAGATAACCTAAAACTCCTGCACAGATGTAGCCCATGGCAGTTCAGTCTCCAAGTGAGTTCAATAGTAATGGGAACATGGACTGACTCTGACATGAACTGTTGGGCCTGCTCTTTGATCACTTCCCCCTGAGGGGGGGGCAGCCTTACCTAGCCACAGAGCAAGACAATACAGCCACTCCTGATGAGACCTAATAGACTAGGATCTGGGTGATTCTTATAGGTCTGTCTGGATATGATACTTGGCCTTCCCCCCCCCCCCCCCCGTCACTCTTAATATTATTTTTGTTTTGCAGATTTAGTGTTTTGATTATTATGTGGTTGGAAGAATTTCTTTTCTGGTCTAGTCTATTTGGTGTTCTGTAAGCCTTTTTTTAAAGGCATCTTTTTCTTAAGGTTGAGGAAATTTTCACTTATGATTTTCTTGAAAATATTTTTTGTACTTTGGAGCCTGGAATCACATACATAAACATAGTAAAGGCAATATACAACAAGCCTATAGCCAACATCAAACTGAATGGAGAGAATATTATACCAATCATGTTGAAATCTCCGATAAGGCACAGATAATTATTCTCTCAGTATATCTTCAATATAGTACTGGAAGTCCTAGCTAGAGCATTGAGACAACTAAAGGATATCAAAGGAATACAACTCAGAACATAAGAATTCTAAGTATCACTATTATCAGAAGATATGGTAGTATATATGAGTGACCCCATAAATTCTACCATGGAACTCCTAAAGCTGATAAACACCTTCATCAAAATGGCAAGATACAAAATTAACTCAAAAAAATCAGTAGTCCTTTTGTATACAAAAGATGAAGGGCTGAGAAAGAAAGTAGGTAAGCAATAACCTTCAAAATAGCCACAAATAATATAAACCTCTAGATAATCAAACAAGGGAGGTCTTAAGAACTTCTGGACTAGAATTTTACACACACACACACACACACACACACACACACACTCCACGAAGGTGGGGATTTGATGGAGGGAGGGGGAAGGAGGACAGAGGGCGTGCAGGGACAAGAGAAACTGTGGCCTGGGGCATCTCTGAGACCTACAGCAGGATAGGCACCTTGGAGGATATGGGGGTGACTCTATTGGAGACCTTTACTAGTGAGGGACATGGAGAATGAAGAGGTCATCTTCAAACCAGCTAAGACTCCTAGTAGAGGATGGAGAATACCAAACCACCCACAAAAACTATGACCCAAAATTTACCCTGCCTACAATAAGTTCAGGGATAAAGAAGGAGCAGAGACTGGGGTAATGTCCACCAATGCCTGGCTACACCATGGGAGAGCGCCAACCCCTGACACTATTAACAACCCTCTGTTAAGCTTGCCGACAAGAGCCTAACATATCTGTCCTCTGAAAGGCCCCACCCAGCAACAGATTGAAACTGATTATGAGCTTCACTGCCAAACAATTGGTGTAGCACAGGGAGCCTTGTGGAAGAGTGGAAGGCAGGATAGAAGGACCAGGAGGCAACAGGAGCTCCACAAGAAGACCAACAGAGCCAAGTAACCTGAGCCTATGTGTGCTTGTGGATACTGAAACACCAACAAAGGACTATATTTGGATTTGCCATAGGCCCCCTACAGATATGTACACAATGGACAGCTTGGTCTTCATGTGAGTTCCATATTAAGGAGAATGGGGGCTGTCTCTGAAACAAGGACTCTGTTGCATGCTTTTAGATCACTTGCCCCTGGCGGGGCTGCCAAGCCAGGTCACCATAGTGGAGGATGCATTCAGTCTTGATATAACTTGATGTGCTGGGAGAGTAGGTGGGAGAACTCCCCTTTTCTGAGGGGGAGTAGAGGAGGAACACCAGGAAGACACAGGGAAGAGAGGAGGGAGGGGCTCTGACTGGGATGTAAAGTGAATAAATAAATAGTCCACACATTTATACATGAAAGAATTTTTGTAGGATAAATTTTTAATTATTTTTTTTTGTTCTCTTTTTACCTTTGCAATCTCCTTTGCATTAAAGATTCAAGTCTGAGGTTTTGTATTTGAGGTGCAATTTTAGCACCAGATGCTGGTTCTGGTGCTGCTGGTCTCTTCAGTTTTAAGTATTATCTCATCTTCTTAAGTACGGTAATTACAACAGCTATCACAATCAGAAAAAGAAAAAGAAAAACCAGCACAAATGGTGCCCAATTAGGATGTTTTCCTGGAGGTGGTCCACTGTCTATACTACCTCCAAAGCCACCTCGTAGACAGTATGGTGGTTTCCACCGAGGATCACAATGGCAGTGGTGTTTACTGTTGCAGACACCTTTCTTATTGCATAATCTTTCTGAACAGTTACCTAACAGAATGGACTTATCGACACACTTCCTGTCAATGCATATACGGCCTTTACCACAAGCTGTTCCATCTGCCACTGCTCCAGGGTCAGCTATGCTTATTCCAAAATGATAGTCCAAGGACCAGCAGGTGGAATTATTGAAATGAACCCAATGCAATGTTTCATGATTTCTCCTAGGAGGAAGCTCTGTCACATTTTCACACTGGATCCTTCCACACAATACATCAGTGCTATTGCATCCTATGTAGGTATAGCTATTGTTACCACAGTTACCAAAACGGTCACCCCGTTTGTTCATTTCCATGTAGCATCTTTCATCTGCACTCCTGGCTCCCTTGCCAAAAATCTTCTGACACTGTACCTGACGATTATGGCATGCATCTTTATAGCAATAGCCACCATTTCTGCAAGGGCTTCCATCCTCTAGGTACACGTCATCTGGACACGCAGCTGAAGTTCCATTGCACCACTCTGGCAGGTCACATTCATTTTTCACTTTTCTACACACTGTGCCTGTTGGAATGAACTTGCAGCTTTTGCAGCAAAGCCCAAAAGCACATTGTGCACCAGGTTTAAAAACACAGTCATCGCTACAACATGGATCATTTTGACATGACTCAGAGGTTCCACAATCACACTGCTCTCCTTCCTCAACCAGCTTATTCCCACAGGTTTGGTTTTTTTCGATTACTAGTAAATCCGGAATATTGTATAAACAGGATCGTCTCCCAATAGTTGTAAACATTTCATTATAACTACAGTTGCTGAATCTATCGGAACCAGACAGGTATGCGGCCATTATGCAGCTCTTTCTCCCACAAGTGCATTCTTTCTCATCATGACCCATACCCAAATTGTGACCCATTTCATGTGCTATAACGGAGGCCATGTGTGACATCGAATCAGAAAGGAAACTCATAACTGCACAATTATCAGGTGTACAAACTGTACCTACAAAGGCTAGCCCTAAGTACATTCCATATCCTTGCAGGGCAAAAAGATGGATGATATCATGTCTAATTTGATTGCCAATGTTTCTTTTCTTCCAAACACAAAAATCACCTAGGACTTTAGAAATATGTCTTTCTACATCGACATGATTTTTTTCATTCCACACTTCAAGTGTGGTTAAAACCACTTCAGTGTCTATTTGAAGATAATAACCATTTATTCCATTGACCATTTGCAAAATATCTTGAAGACATTGTGTGGTATTTCCTTTTCTATGAACATATCGTTTGTGATCTATTATCACAAAATATTCAAGATACTTGTGGTGTACCCACCAATCCCCATATTGGCTTTGGAAATACGTGGAGTCACTGCTGTCTCGAAGATTCATTTGTCGTGTTATTTCCTCTTCTGATAACCCACATCGCATGGGAATTGATTCTGACTCCTCACTACCCATTTTATAAGCCAGATGTTCAAATGTGGAAGTTGAGCTCTTGGGCATGATTTCATAAACTGTGCCATTTATCTCTAGTATGCCTTGGAAACTTCCCAAACAGGTTGTAAGAGCAACTATGGATTCTGGATCTTCGTCCACATAGCCATGGTAGTAGCAGTCATCCCGCACAAAAGGCTGTTCTGAAAGGATATCACCTTGGTCACTGTAGGTTAAGAGTAAGAAGTTTCTAGATATCAAGTTTTCCTTTGGTTTCATGGTGATAATATGCCTCTCTGCTCCAAAGTACAGGCTGTAGGAGAGCCAGCCTGGAGAATTATTGTGTCTCATAGAATCAGTGACCCTGAAAGGTATCACTACTTCTATAGGGCTACTGTATTTAGCATGTCCAGTTGTTGACCATGTGGAGAGGAAGAGCACCTTCCACAGCCAGAACATGATCCTCTTATGGACCAGGGCCTTATCCACAGTCCCCATGTCTTGTCAGAGAGCAAAAGGGAGAGCTTGAGAAGTCCTTTCTCTCCTAGTGCTTGGTCTGTATGGTTGCATGCAGCACGGGCCTTTGATGGTGTGTCTTCTGACAGAGGTGATTCATCAGAGCATCAGGACTGAGAGAAACAGAGGTAAGAAAGTCACTCATAGGTATAGGTAAATCATGATCAAGTCAGGTTACCGGAGATAAATGCAGAGAACAGGCTAAAAGCAATTAGTCTTTGTTCCATGCTGTTTTAACAATGTGCTTTCTTTTTTTTTTTAAATTTGTGGTAGAGTATACTTTGTCCTTATATAAATATATTTCTAAAACACTCAGAGTTCTTAATAAGATACTAATTTTTAATTTTTAATTCAATTGATGTCATGCTCACAGTTTCTGAATATTCTAATTTTTTCTTTCTTCAACAGCACCTGTAGATATAACTGTAGATAGCTGAAATTTAAGGTTGTCATTGTGTTCATATATGTAGTGATTTAAATTGTAACTCTCCTCAAACAGTGTCCTGCATCTGAGTACATTTGTGTGTTCCTTTCTGTCCTCATTTTGTCATTGTGGTGGGAGGCAGAAACTTTTCTCAGGCTGAAACTTATTCTCATTTGTATTTTTTATAGTTTGTTTTTAATATGGTTGTGAGTGTGCACAACAGTGTGAACATGAACCTTGTGTGAATATTGATATACGTGTAAAGGTCACAATTCATCCTGGCTACTGAGTGTTCAGGAGCTCTACACCTTGTTTGTGCAATCACTTCTAAAGTTTGGTATGTTACTAATTCTTGGTGTGTTTGTATGTGTGTAAGCATGTGTGTGAGTATGTATGTCTGTGTGTATTTGTGTTAGTGTGTGTGTGTGTGTGTGTGTGTGTGTTAATAGAAGCCTAGCATTAGTGTTGGATATAATTCCTAGGTCATCATCCACCTTGGTTCTTGACCCAGAGTTGGTCACTGACATGCTACTTTCTAAAGAGGGAAGAATGACTTACCAGCAAGCCTTAGCAATCTGCACATTTCTGTCTTCTCATTGCTGGCATTGCTACAACTGGTCACCAACAAAGCATTTAATGGAGGTTTCAGGAATTCATTCTCATGTCTGTATGCTTTATAACATTCACTTTACCAAATGAGCTATCTCTCTTGTCTGGTATCTTTAGTGTATCAATATTTTGAAAACATTATTAAGGAACAAGATGCAGGAACATATAGAGTGATAGGAGCCAGGGCCAGAGAGGAGGAGGAGGAGGTCCTCCCCTATTAGTGGACTACAAGAGGGGCATTGAGGGGAAGAGAGAGGGTTAGATGTGAAGAGATCAGGGGGTTACAGCCAGGGTACAAAGTGAATAAATATAATAATTAATTAATTAATTAAAAAATCATTGTAAAAAAATTTTAAGGATAATAAAATAAAACTGTGATTAAAGTCTGACATGCTGGTGATTACCAAAAATTACTTTGATTTAGATTTGGTAATCATTATAGAGTGTATATTTCTGATGTAAAGAAAAGAATTATTCATTAAGAATCCAGCAGTGCTGGGATTGAATCAAGAAGAGTATATCAGAATTAATGATTAAAACTACAGTAGTGGATATGTTAAAAGTAAAGCTTAAAGGAAAAAAACACAGCCTCCATCCTTCCTTAGCTGCCTGTCGGTTTCCAGTTGCAATATCCATCCACCTGGTTCACACACTTTGTAGCCTGAGAGACAGCAGCAGGCTGTGTCCTGCAGTTAGCAAATGCAGGTCTAGGCAAGGAAGAACTTTTAAAAAACATTTCAGTGTATTATTATTTACTTATTTGTGCATGCAGTGTGTGTTTGTGTGTATACACTTGCCACTATGTGGGTGTATTTTCTCTTTTTATTTAATTATTTTTATTTTAATTAATTAGTTTACTCACTTTGTATCCCCCTGTACCTCCCTTTCTCCTCCCCTCCCAATTCCACTGTCCCTCTTTCCCATCCATGCTCTTCTTCCAGTCCACTAATAAGGGAGGTCCTCCTCCTATTCCTTCTGATCCTAGTCTATCAGGTCTCATCATGAGTGGCTGCAATGTCTTCTTCTGTGACCTGGTAAGGCTTGTTCCTCCCTAAGGGTGAACTGATCAAAGAGCAGGCCAATCTGTTTCTGTCAGAGACAGTACTTGTCCCCATTACAATGGAGCCTACTTGGATCCTAAACTGCCATAGGCCACCTCTGTGCAGGGATTCCAGGTCATCTCCCTGAGTGGTCCTTGGCTGGAGTCCCTGGCTTCTCTGCCAAATGGGAGGGGAACTGTGGTGTACAGAAGACAGCACAGAGCATCCTGTGACTATTGTTTAAAAACCTAAATCTTGGAAACAGATTGTCTTTGTGTCAACGCAGGTGAGAGGAGCAAGTTTAAATGCTTCATAAGAGAAGACTCAGGCAGAATGATGAACTTACAAGAAAGTAAAGTCGGAAAAATTGGCTTAAATTATTATACAACTTAGATAAAATACCATAACTGGTTTGAAATCCTGAAACACGAAGGCTGAAAGGGCTGTGCATTACAGGACGTTTGCAAAGATCTGACAACAGCTCTATTCAGCTCAGTCAAAATGAAATTAAGTCTTGGAGACAGAACAACTGCATTCAGGCTGAACAGTATTTTCTGAATTAACCAAAATGTATTGGATGTGCCCTGGGTTAGACTTCGATACAACTCCAAAACCCTGGAAAGTTCATCATCTTCCTGAGGAGCTTGCTTCTGCACTGAGGCATTTGAAAAAAGGGGAAATTTTTTTTTAAAGAAAGTGTTTTCTAAAACACACACACACACAAATGAAACTTAAAAAAATAATTCAGCAAATTCAGTTGTTCTTTACTGCACACAAGAATTGTAGTATCTAGAACTTCAGAAAAAAATATATTTCTTCCAAAATTTGGTACAACTATAACAACCTAGATTTCATGTTGGTTCTCAGAGATCAGCTTTTACCTTACCTTTTTCTTCCAACAACCTCATCAAATTCATTTACCACACAAATTCTCTAATCATATAGGATCTAGTGAATCACACTACATCTTTAGAGCCACCATAATAAATTAGGAGAGAGTGGAAATATTTAAGTAAAATAAATGCCATCCTCAAATGTGCAGAATTGGCAAGGAGGTGAGGGATGTAGGTGTTCACTTTCTAATTATTTGTGCTTCTGTGCTTTACTGAATCCTCTAAAGACTTACCCTCAGATGATGTGATGCTCATGTTCTTGTGCTGGTCTTGCTTACAAAAGTATTTTTCTAACTCACCTTAGAAACAGAGATGTTTGCTTGAGAATTCACAAGAGAATATAAATCCTTTATTTGTCTCTTGTGGAGCAAGTTCTAGATTCATGTGCTTAGCAACAGGAGCCTCCCATTTCACAGAATCTGGCAACTGGTGAGGTTCTTCCCAATGGTTCCTCTATCCCTTTAACAATGTTATTTGGTTTCTTCTTTCATGTGAGTAATTCTCACTTCTATCTCCTCATAGGCTTCAGTATTTCCAGTGTGAATACATCTCATTTCCTAACTTGTGTTTTTTTCATACACTCTAAAATTAGCTGAGCTCTGGGTTTTGTTCATATTTTTTTTCGAAATTTTTATTATGTATAACATGTTCTGCCTGCATATATGCCTATAGGCAGAAGAGGGCACCAGATCTCCCTGTAGGTGGATGTGAATGGCCATGTGGGTGCTGGGAATTGACTCAGGACCTCTGGAAGAGCATCCAGTGCTCTTAACCTCTGAGCATCTCTCCAGCCCTGTGTTCATATTATAATCATTATTCCTTTTTATTTAGTGTTGGCATTAATAAGAAATACTCAAAGCACTTCAAATTATTGAAAATAATTTCACTGTAAGGTACCAAGTATCTGCCATTTGTTTCTCTTTCTCAGAATAGAGTACCCCAGAGACATTGAGCACCTGCACATGTAGATACATTGTTTATACAACTGTTGTTAAAATTAATTCATGCAATCAATTTATAAAAGGAAAGGTGGATAAAAGCATAGGGTCAAGATCCAACTATACCACTCCTAGGCATATATCCAAAAGATGCTCAAGTATACAATAATGACATTTGTTCAACCAGGTTTGTAGCAGCCTTATTTGTAATAGCCAAAAGCTGAAAACAGCTCAGATGCCCCTCAGTGGAGGAATGGATGCACAAATTGTGGTACATCTACACAATGAAATATTACTTAGCAATAAAAAACAAGGAAATTATGACATTTGCAGGTAAATGGTGAGATCTGGAAAAGATCATCCTGAGTGAGCTATCCCAGAAGCAGAAAGATGCCCATGCCATATACTCACTCATATAGACATATAATATGGGATAACCCTACTAAAATCTGTACACCTAAAGAAACTCATCAAGAGGGAGGACTCTTGCTAAAATGCTCAATCCCTATCCAGAAAGGCAAAAAGGATGGACATCAGAAGAAGGAGAAAAGAGGGAACAAGTCAGTAGCCTGACACAGAAGACATTTTAAAGGCTCTGCCCTGCAGACTATCAAAGCAGATACTGAGACTTATGGCCGAACTTAGGGCAGAATTCAGGGAATCTTATGAAAGAAGCAGGAAATAGTAAGATCTGGAGAGGACAGAAATTCCACAAGGAGAGCAACAGAACTAAAAAATCTGAGCGCAGGGGTCTTCCCTGAGACTTATACTCCAACCAAGGACTATGCATGGAGATAACCTAAGACCCCTTCACAGTTGTAGCCCATGGCAGTTCAGTATCCTAGTGGGTAGTGGGCTCCATAGTAATAAGAACAGGGACTGTCTCTGACATGAACTGATTGGCCTGCTCTTTAATTACCTCTTCCTGCGGGGGAAGCAACATTACCAGGCCACAGAAGAAGATAATGCAGCCACTCCCTTTGAAACTTAATTGACTAGGATTAGGAGGAAGGAAAAGAAGAACTCTCCAGATATTACTATTTCCCACTTCTTTCATAAGATTCCCTGTACTCTGCCC